GTTGTTTAACATTTAATTATTGCAGGTTTGCGTCATATTCTGAGTTGCATTATTTTGATTCATTTTGAGTTCATAAAGACAGTCACTTGCTTCATTCCTGAATGATTCAGCCGTTCGAACGAATCAATTGAATGAATGATTCAGTGATAAAATCAGTGACTTGCCGCCACCTGCTGGCGGATTTGGTTTCATTTTTAGCGTATAATTTCAGTTATTTGAATCATATTTCTGTATTCAAAATTGTATATTTAAAACATTAATCTCCACATTAATTTATGAGCCTCCTCTGAGCCTCATTAAACGTCTGAAAATGTACCTACAAGCCACTTTTGTGTTCTTCTGTGCCACCTCTGTAGTACAAATTAATTTATTAATACTAATTTCATATGATTGGTAACTTATTTGTCTTATTCTACTTATTAATATATTGCAGGGGTTAAAGCAAAAAAAATAAAAAATCTTTTGACTGAAGATTTTTCTTCGACCAAACCCCATTCCTCAGCCGTAGCTGTCACACACACAGTTTAAGAGCAGTGTTTTTCTTCTTGTAATTAGGAGCGCTTGTCCTAATTTAAAAATGTAGGAGCACCTTCTAATCAATAATCAAAAATTCTGATAAAAAATGAGCCTTCCTAATACGAGACTCCTTAAAGTGACTTACAGGAGTATCTTTGTAATGGCATCTTTTTCATCTGTCAAATTCAAAAATGTATGTTTATAATCTTTTTAAAATTTCTATTTAGAACAATATGTAGAATAAGACAAATAAGCTACCAATCATATGAAATTAGTATTAAAAAATTAATTTGTACTACAGAGGTGGCACAGAAGAACACAAAAGTGGCTTGTAGGTACATTTTCAGACGTTTAATGAGGCTCAGAGGTGGCATGAGTGTAATTAAATTCATGTAGAAATTATTTTAAATATATAAATTTGAATACAGAAATAGGATTCAAATAACTGAAATTTTACGCTAAAAATTACACCAAATCCACCAGCAGGTGGCAGCAAGTCACTTATTTTATCACGGAATAATTAAAATTTTGAATACAGAAATATGATTCAAATAACTGAAATTATACGGTAAAAATGAAACCAAATCGCCAGCAGGTGGCGGCAAGTCACTGATTTTATCACTGAATCATTCATTCAATTGATTCGTTCGAACGACTGAATCATTCAGGAATGAAGCAAGTGACTCTTTATGAACTGAAATCCGTCGTAGCGACAGAACTTTAATCCCTGTTTACATCTGAAATATGACAGATGAGGTGGTCTCACTCAGGTCCAGTGTGCTCTACAGGACAGGTTTGATACGGCTCAGTTTTACAAAGTGTTCAATATTATTTTGAAATTAATATAATTTTTTCTCAAAATTGCTTTTTAAAATGCAGATTATTTATTTGTAATAAATGCTCCAGGTTTGCTGTGCTTGTTTGTAACACAATTTTTTAAAATTTATATATCAATATGAAAATAAAATAATAATGATTATTATTATTATTACTAAATAAAATATTAATATTATTTAAAACAAAAAATATTACTATTGTAATAATTCACTGTAAAAATAGTATTTAAGAAATATTATATAGTAATACAAATAAAAATACCTTTGTTTTACAGTACAACTGTAAAATTACAATACTAATATTTATGCTGTCTTCTTATTTTAAGCTTTGATTGATCTTTTATTCTGATGGAAAATCAAAGGGTTCCTGGCAAACATATTTATTTAAATTAATTAATTTTGATAATCAGACAAGGCCATATAATGGTTTCGATTTTATTTTGATTAATTGTTCAGCCCTAGTTTTTTTGAGGCACTTAGTTGCAAGTAAATTAGATATTCATAAGCAGAACTTATTTCTGCAGTTATGTTACTTATAATAATAATAATAATAATAATAATACATTTACCATATTGTTTTAGTCAATTTGACTAAAACACCATATAACTTTAGAGATAACATTTGACATTATAGAAAAAACTGAATCAAATATTTAAAAATTTTATATATTAATTGTACAGTATATACTAAAAACAGCATGTCAAACTGCACTTGCTCATCTAAGCATGGAAACTTTTATGCAAATTTTTAGTTTATACACATATTGATTATTTCCATTCCATTTTTAAAGCGCAAATTTCAAAACCTAATAAAAATAGCTGGATGTAAACCCAGCAACAATTTTTGGGTCAGAATGAGCTGTGAAGTGGACCAGACGTCATGCTGATAGTCAAAAGAGTGCATGTTTGAGCATGTTTGCCACTGTACACAATGATCAGAAATATGATGCCTGTTCTGAATATTATATATATACTGTACATCCACAAACACTGAAATGTGAAATTTCCAAATCAACATGATCTTATGCGCTCATTTAAATTTGATTACTGTACATTATTATTATTATTATTGTTGTTGTTGTTGCTATTATATTACTAAATAAAAATATTACTATTATTTATTTAAAATAAGAAATATTAGTTTTGTAATATTTTACTGTAAAATAAAAAAAAAATATTTTGGAAGAATTGAATAATTTTATAGCACAGTTGTAAAGTTATAGTACAAATTTATGACTGTCTTCATTTTCAAACGTTAAATCATCACACTTTTATTGTTTAAAATATTGAAAATATTGTTTATATTGGCAGAGCAGCATATATATTATATTATACATAAATATGTATTTTTATATTGGTGCATATAAATTATAAAGTTTCAGTATCATTTTTACTTTGAAAATATGCCTTGATTTTAACTATATTTTTACTGTGTTTTACTTCTTACATTTAAACATTTTGAATTTATTTCGTTATAAAGACTTTTAATTGAAATAATGATTTCTCTGATTGAAAATAAAAAACCTTTTTGAACCATTTCAGAGCAATGCATAAATACAGAGGTATATTTTGAATCCTTAAAAGCCTGAAAAAAAAGAATAATATTTTATTTATTTATATATATTAAATTATTCATAGGTTATATAATATTTGATAATTTATCTATATATATTAAATTATTCATAGGTTATATATAATATAATTTTTATCTGTATTTTTTTGTCCCAGTACATGTTCAGAATCACTGCATTAAGTGTATTGTTTTATTGCAGTTACGTGGTCTCCGGCGATGCTGACGGGAAGCTGAATATCTGGGACTGGAAGACGACGAAGCTCTATCATCGGATCAAGGCGCATGATAAGGTGTGCATCAGCGCGCTCTGGCATCCTCACGAGACGTCGAAGGTGATCACCTGCGGCTGGGACGGACAGATCAAGCTCTGGGACTGACGCATCTGCTTCCTTCTCCTCGTGTTTTCCTCTCGAGCCCGAGTCTCAGCTTTTAACTCTGATGTGAGATTATTAATGGGCTGGTATCCAGTCCTAAACACACACACACACACACACACACACACAGACTTGCAGCTCATGCTTTTTGTTTTATAATGAATGAATCTGTATCTCCAGTGTCTCACATTTGTCTCTTTTTGAGGATAATAAATGTCTCTCGTTTATTTCTGCTGTCTTTGTGTTTTGGTGGAATTTTCCCATTCATTTTCAGCATAGACGTTTCTTCAGTAAAGAGAATCAATTACAACATAACATGTGATTAGAGGCATAAAGAAGGTACTTTAACATCTCTAATGACGGATTGAACTCCTCAAATTGACTAAGACATTGATTAGAGTGTAAAATACTGCATTTTAACTCAATATATGCACTCTCTCTCTCTCTCTTTTTTTTAATACATTACAATAGTAGTATGGCAATTGTAATATTTATTTTATTTAATTTTAATAATTTAAATATTATTCTAATAACTTTAACCATATCTCAAATATATCTAAGAATTATTCTAAGTAAAATTATTCTAAATAATAATAATTCTAATAGTAATAATAATAATTAAGATTTTATTAAATTCATTTTTTATTTACAGTACAATAGAATTATTGCAGTAGTAATATTTATTGATTTAATTTCTATATTTTAAATATTATTCTGAATATGTATTATTATTAAATATTCTTTTTTTTTACTAATTAATGTTATTGCAATAGTTATTTATTTAATTTAATAGTTTAAATTTGATTTAATTTTTATAATTTAAATAAAATATTATTCTGAATATTTATACGTATATTTTTAACTTAGTATATGACTTGAGCTCTTCTAGTGTGATTCCTGATTCCATGGTAAGAGATCAAGCTCTGGGACTGACGCATCTGCTTCCTTCTCCTCGTGTTTTCCTCTCGAGCCCGAGTCTCAGCTTTTAACTCTGATGTGAGATTATTAATGGGCTGGTATCCAGTCCTAAACACACACACACACACACACACAGACTTGCAGCTCATGCTTTTTGTTTTATAATGAATGAATCTGTATCTCCAGTGTCTCACATTTGTCTCTTTTTGAGGATAATAAATGTCTCTCGTTTATTTCTGCTGTCTTTGTGTTTTGGTGGAATTTTTTTTTTCATTTTCAGCATAGACGTTTCTTCAGTAAAGAGAATCAATTACAACATAACATGTGATTAGAGGCATAAAGAAGGTACTTTAACATCTCTAATGACGGATTGAACTCCTCAAATTGACTAAGACATTGATTAGAGTGTAAAATACTGCATTTTAACTCAATATATGCACTCTCTCTCTCTCTCTTTTTTTTAATACATTACAATAGTAGTATGGCAATTGTAATATTTATTTTATTTAATTTTAATAATTTAAATATTATTCTAATAACTTTAACCATATCTCAAATATATCTAAGAATTATTCTAAGTAAAATTATTCTAAATAATAATAATTCTAATAGTAATAATAATAATTAAGATTTTATTAAATTCATTTTTTATTTACAGTACAATAGAATTATTGCAGTAATAATATTTATTGATTTAATTTCTATATTTTAAATATTATTCTGAATATGTATTATTATTAAATATTCATTTTTTTACTAATTAATGTTATTGCAATAGTTATTTATTTAATTTAATAGTTTAAATTTGATTTAATTTTTATAATTTAAATAAAATATTATTCTGAATATTTATACGTATATTTTTAACTTAGTATATGACTTGAGCTCTTCTAGTGTGATTCCTGATTCCATGGTAAGAGCAACTTTGGATTTTGTATTGGAAGGGTTTGGCTTTGGCATTATGGGTAATTTACTTCTTCACTGGGAATTTTGCTGTTAAACACGATTTTTATTTTATTTTTTATGGGAAAGCACACATGGTGTTTCTACAGATGCAATTATCATAACTGCACAACAGTGGGTTTTCATTATAGGATTTATGTTATTGCTCTAAACACATTTCAGTCATCCCTTCACAGATAAAGCAATCCCATAATGCACTTCAGCAATCTCAGTGAAAATTCTCCTCCAACAGTCAAGGTACGTGACCTTCGTAAATATATTTTATACGCCTGGTATTTGCACACAATGTTAAGTGAATTCAGGTTTTCTTACATTTAATCAAAGTGGCCTGAATTTATCTGAATTCAACCCATTTTTATCAAGCAACATGAATTCAGTTCACCTGATATATGTGAATGAAACCTATTTTTATCGAGCAACATGTTAAAAATATACATACTATATTCTGTATGAAAAATATAGTTTGCAAATAGTATTTTCAGTGTTAATTTATGTAGAAATGTTTTTTATGTAGACATTAATGTATTATATTACATAATATATCTTTAATTTTCACGTTCTCACATCCTCATTGACTTGTGCTAAATTTACACTGCAAAGGTGGCACAGAAGCGCTTCTGAAGTGGCATTAAAGCGTCTTTACACAGATTGCATAAAGCTGCTCAGAGGAGGCATACATGCGTTTGCGCTGCAATTACAACTTTGAAATTTTTTTTACTTTGCAATTACAAGTACAATAGTACTTTGATACTAAGGGCTGAGGTGGGTCAGAGCAGGCATAATTTGGTCTGGCTTTTATGCAGCATTCTGTCTTTACGCATAATTTTGAGCAGGTGCAGAACAGCCTTTAAGCTGTGTAAAGATGCCTTTATTAATTTAATTCCCTAGTGCCAAATTTACACTGCAAAGGTGGCTCAGAAGCGCTTCTGAAGTGGCATTTAGGCGTCTTTCACACAGATTATTTAATCCTGCTCAGAGGTGGAATAAATGCATTTACATAGACACAACTACAACTTTATGATTTGATACTAGGGGCTGAGGCAGGTCTGAGCAGGCATAATTTAGTCTGGCTTTTATGCGGCATAATGTCCTTACACAGAATTTTGAGCAGGCAAAGAGCAGCCTTAACTCGGCTGTGTAGAGACGCCTTAAGCCAAATTTACACTGCAAAGATGGCTCAGAAGCGCTTCTGAAGTGGCATTTAGGCGTCTTTCCACAGATTGTTTAATGCTGCTCAGAGGTGGCATAAATGCATTTACACAGACACAACTACAGCTTTATGATTTGATACTAGGGGCTGAGGCGGGTCTGAGCAGGCATAATTTAGTCTGGCTTTTATGCGGCATAATGTCCTTACACAGAATTTTGAGCAGGCACAGAGCAGCTTTAACTCGGCTGTGTAAAGACGTCTTAAGCCAAATTTACACTGCAAAGATGGCTCAGAAGCGCTTCTGAAGTGGCATTTAGGCGTCTTTCCACAGATTGTTTAATGCTGCTCAGAGGTGGCATAAATGCATTTACACAGCAATCACGGCTGTATACTTTAATACTAGGTGCTGAGGTGGATCAGAGCAGGCATAATTTAGTCTGGCTTTTATCTGGCATTGCATTTTTACACTGAAATTTAAGCAGGCACAGAGCAGCCTTAACTCGGCTGTGTAAAGACGCCTTAGGGAGGCGATAAATCGGGCAGTGGTGTGAATGTGGAACTAATCAACCCAAGGTTTTTCTTCATCAATAAAAATCTTTTATGATCCCTGAAGATCTTTTCTTTGGAACAGATCCTGGTCCAACTCCTGCTGGAATGTTCTAGAAGTTGTAGATAAGAGGATCACATGCATGAAGAACTGGAAGTCAAGCTTTTATAAGGTCCCATTGACTCCAGCTGTTCATACTGAGAACCGTTATTCAGATGGACCATTACCGCCATTGCTTTGTCGTTGCATATCCAGATAATCGGACATAAATGATTCAGAGTATTGTTTAGAATATCATCCTTGCGGCACAAACTGAGTGTTCACCCATCCCAGTATAAAGGAGCTGCTGGCTCCCAACTCCCTGAGCAGACTGAACCAATAGCGGACCACCGAGGGCTTGTCCCCGCCCACCTCAAACCCCGCCCACTGCAGGTGCAGGTGCAGCTCCAGCAGCAGCAGGCCGAAGGAGTCCAGCACCTGCTCCAGGATCAGGTTCTCAGGATCTTCCACTCGGCGCTTCCCAGATCCACCTTCAGGACGTCCACCTGTGAGGAACACGATTATTACTGACACGAAACTGAAGTAACACGAGGTGCCTTATTCATTAACATCAACCTGAATCCTTCCACTAGTACATCTAGTAAACTAAGGTTAGTGCTTTTGCAGGGATGTGATTTAAAAAATATATATATATATTTATACGGATTTCCACATTTTCCAACCTGAATTATGAATTCTTCGACGTGCCAAGCATCTTATCAAATTTCTTATGAGAATCATTTAGAAAGAAGCTTTTTAGAAAGAGCGGTTTTCAACCAAAATAAAAGCTTTAACATTGGAAAGCAAAGAAATGAAGACAGCTATCAATATAAATATAAATAGTAGCCTATTGTAATTTTACTATTGTTCTGTAAAATATTATTATTAATTATTATTAGATGCAGATTTTTTTACTTTACTGTACAGTAGTATTATTGCAATGGTATTATTTATTTAATCATTTTTTTATCATTTAAATACAAATATTATTCTGAATAATAATTATTATTAATAAATGCTAATTTTATGTTATGTTACTATATAATTATTACTTTTAAATTATAAAAATTCTTACAATAGTTTTATTGCAATATTTCTTTATTGGTTTAATTTTTATAATTAAAAAAATAAAATATTCTAAATAAGAATAATTATTATTATTTTATTATTAAATGCTTTTTAATTTACAGTGCAATAGTAATATTTCTTAGGTTTCTAATTTAAATACAAAAATTCTTCAATAATTCAAACTACGATTAAAAGCTCAAGCTGCTGTTTGTCCTCGATCCTCACAGCGGGAGCGAAAACAGTTCATCTGATAATCAAAGAAACATTTGAAGAGACGCAGAAAGACTCCATCAGCGCTTTATAATGGCTTTAATGCAGTTTATTCTGAGAATCACTAAAACTGAGTGTTACATTTGTGCTCCATACATCAGTGGTTCCTCAGATCGTGTGCTGAATGTCAAAATAATAGTTTTCTTTATGATTTCTCAAGAGTTCTGTGTGAAGCTTGTGAATGAGTTTAATCTGACAGATGTGTTGTGGGTAAATGTTTAGTTTTTAATTAACTGTAATCTGGAGAACAGGTGTTTTTCGTCCCGTTTGAA